TTATGTATTCATCTATTTTGAGACGGTAGTCGTTCTGTCGCCAGGCTGGAGGTGTCAGCTGGCGCATCTCGGTCCTCACTGCAAGCCGGTCCTCCGTGGTTCACGCCATTCTCCTGCGCTCAGGCCTCCCGAGTAGGGCTGGGCACTACAGGCGCCGCCACCATGCCCGCTAATTTTTCTGTTTTTTTTAGTAGAGACGGCGGGTTCACGGTGTTAGGTCAGGGACGGTCTCGATCCTCCTGACTTTGTGATCCCGCGCTCCGCCCGGCCCTCCAAAGTGTTGGGATTACACAGGCGTACAGGCCACGTCGCCGGCCGACCATACTTATTGTACCTTTAAAAACAAAAACAGGGCCGGGGCGGGTGGCTCAAGCCTATAATCCCGGCACTTTGCACCGGAGGCCGAGAACGGGCGGATCACAAGATCAGGAGGATTCGAACCGGTCCTGACTAACACAGTGAAAACCCCGTCTTACTAAAATACAAAAAATTATCGGGCGTCTGGTTTTGCGGGCGCCTGTACGTCCATGCTATCTCCGTGTAGGGTTGAGGCAGTGAGAATTGTGTGGTGAACCCTGGGATGGCTCAGAGCTTCCTCATATGAGCGACGATGGCGGCCGCACTGCCACTCCGGCTGGCGGTGAGCGAGCAGAGCGAGACTTCCGTCTCAAAACAAAACAAAAGAGCAAAAAATCCCAACCATTTTAAAGAGAATGGGACAAGCACCGATTGCCCGGCTTACGGACTTTACAAAAGAAGGATGGGCGCGCGTTGGAGTTTTCCAACCCTTGAGTGTATAGAAACTTCTGGTAGTTCATAGACTTTATTTTGGAAGTAATCTCATCTCGCTGTTGCCAGGCTGGGAGTGGCGCAGTGGCATCGGCTCTCGGCTCACGGCTCAGACCTTTGCCCTCGGGGTTCAATCGATGTGCATCTGCCGCCTCAGCCTCCGGCGAGAAAGCTGGATTACAGGTGCGCACACCCATGCCAGCTTGATTTTTGTATTTTTTCGTAGAGACGCAGTGTTCACATTCTCAGCTAGTGTGTCTCTGAGCTATCCTCCTGAGCCTAATGGTGCTGGGTAGTTACAGGCGTGGAGCCACTGTGCCCTGGCTCTCTTGTTTAAATAAAAAAAAGAAAAAGAGGCCCGGCGCTGTCCTCAAGCCTGTAATCCCAGCAGGTTGGGAGGCCGAGCGGCGGGATCACGAGTCAGGGAGATCGAGGACAGTCCTGGCTAAACGGTGAAACCCCCGTCTCTACTAAAATACAAAGAATTAGCCGGGGCGAGGTGGGGCGGCCTGGTCGAGTGTTCCAGCTACTCGGAGGCTGAGGCAAGCGAGAATGGCATGAAACCGGGGAGCGGAGCTGCAGTGAGCCGATGATGGCGCCACCTGCACTCCAGCCTGGGCGGACAGGTGAGACTCCGTCTCAAAAAAAAAAAGAAAAAAAAGAATATTAGAAACCAAGCTCAGGCTCCGTAAGAGTAACAATGCCAAATTATCAAAACATTTGACAGGGGTTATTAGACTAAAAAATAAAACAAAATAGAAGAATTGTTACAATAAATTTTTTTGGCGGTCCAGGCTGAAGTTGCAGTGGCGAATTCTTGACGCTCCACTGGCAGCCTCCACCTCCTGGGTTTAAGCAATCTGCCTTCAGCTACCCGTGAGTAGCTGGGATTTCACATGGCGCCTGCCGACCGAACGCGCCAGGCTAAGTTTTTAGTATTATTTAGTAGAGACGAGGGTTTTCACCATGTGCGCAGGCTGGTCTTGAAACCTGACCTCAGATGATCCACCATCTGGCCTCCAATGTTTGTGGATTACGGTGTGGCCACTGAACTGGGGTCCTTTTGTTTAATGGCTTTTTAATTAAGACTTTTTTAAAATTACTAGTCAAAATTTATGATACTGTGGTTTCCACTATTAGTATTAGATTCTTTCAGAGGCTGACATTGGAGATGTGTATAATAGATATTTATTCTTACCTGACTTAAATAATCTTTAAATCAGCCTCTCAATTCCTAAGATTCTCTATTGCTTAAAATTACTCTAAGGTTTTGGCCAAACTTGTATATTAACTACAAGAAGAGGCTTTAATTCGAAAGGTAATACACACTAATGTAAAAAAAGACCAGAGGGCGAGGCAGTGCTATACACCTGTAATCCCAGCTACTCGGAGGTTGAGGCAGAAGGATTAACTGAGCCCAGGAGTTTGATGGTATCCTGGAGCAACACAGCAACGATGTCGGCAGCTCTAAAACATAATTAAATAAATCAATTTTAAAAAACCAGGCCGTTGGAGGCCGAGACGTGCGAATCACGAGGTCAGGAGATCAAGACCATCCTGGCTAACATGGTGAAACGCCCCGTTCTCTACTAAAAAATACAAAAAAACTAGCGGGCTGAGGTGGTGGCGCGGCGCCTGTTTAGTCCCAAGTTCTACTTCGGTAAGGTATGAAGGCATGTATTACTTGTAATCATTTTTAATGATTTATGAGATATTGCGGTGAACCCGGGGATATGCAGTAGCTTGTTTGTCGTATTGTATAGTTCTGACATGGTCCACCTCTCAGCTAGGCAACTCCAGGCTTGTGGGGCGAGTCGAGAAGTGAGAACCAACGTACTCAAAAATATAGAGAAAAAAAAATAAAATAAACCGTCAGGCCAGGGCGTTGGTGGTCTGATGTCGCTGTCGAGAAATCTCAGCTGAGCGAGTGATGGAAGGAGGCTGCGGAAGCTGTTGTAGTGCTTCGATTTTGTATGTCTCTCTCAGGAGTTTCTCCAGGTCTATGACGGAGGACCAGTCTGTGGATGCTATATGCATGTGAAAACCCTGTCTCTAGCTAAAATAACCAAAAATTAGCAGGTGAGTATTTGGTAGTTATTTGATTTTGGATTGGGATTTGATGTTGTTGTAGGTGGGTGTCTATTTGGTTCTGTAATCCCAGCACTTTGGGAGGCTGAAGCAGGAGGATCATTTGAGGTCGGGATTTCGAGATCAGCCTGGCCAACATGGTGAAACCATGTCTCTACTAAAAATACAAAAATTAGCCGGGTGTGGTGGCACATACCTGTAATCCCAGCTACTCGGGAGGCTGAGGCAGGAGAATGGCTTGAACCCGGGAAGCAGAGGTTGCAGTGAGCTGAGATCGTGCCACTGCACTCCAGCCTGGGCAAGAGCGCGAGACTCTTGTCTCAAAAAAACAAAACAAAAAACCCAGACCAACTGTTTTGAAGCAGTGAAATAATCTTGGAAAATGTAATTCCAATTCAGGAATAGTTGTCACAGTATCCCTATGAGAATTAAGATTAAAGAATTATCAATGTCATAACTGATTAATTTCTAAATTACAAGTAACTTAAATTATTACATCTTTATTACAACTCTACCTTTGCATGCTTCAGTTCTAACTCTGCCAGTTCCACTAAATTTTTTCTGAATGCAGCAACTCTTCTTGTCTTAAAATCTATAAGTTCTGTGAACAAGAAATTAGGATTATTTAATTTACATAATAGTCATAAAGCATACCTTGTGATTGAAAGTTAACATAACAGTACCTTGTTTTGCAGACTCAGAGATTTTTTCAAATTTCTGACAACATAATTGTTGGGAAGTTTCGGCCTGTAGAACATCTTTATTTTTTGCTCTTGCTTTATCCAGTGCTTTATTAGCATTTTCATAATCCACTAGTGACCTAGACCTTCGATACAGGAGATCCTATAAAACAGAATGCTTCACAATAGTATATATATTGCATGTTTCCAGTAGTCACACCCAGCCACCACTGTCACCACCACCACAACCATCAGAGCTAACACACAGTGAATATACTACATGCTAGTTACTCCAGTTTTTTTTTTTTTTTTTTTACTTCGATACAGGAGATCCTATAAAACAGAATGCTTCCACAATATATATTATTGCATGTTCCAGTAGTCAACAGCCCAGCCACCATCGTCACCACCACCACACCATCCAGAGCTAACACACAGTGAATATACTACATGCTAGTTACTCCAGTTTTTTTTTTTTTTTTTTTGAGGGGGGTCTCACTCTGTCGCCCAGGCTGGAGTGCAGGTGGCACGATCTCCGCTCACTGCAAGCTTCCGCCTCCGGGTTCCCGCCCATTCTTCCTGCCTCAGCTCCCGAGTAGCTGGACTACAGCGCCGCCACACGGCCGGCTAGTTTTTTTTTTTTGTATTTTTGTACAGACGGGGTTTCACTGTGTTAGCCAGTGATGGGCTCGAGATTCCTGACTCCGGGAATTGCCGTCTCGGCCTCCCAAGTGCTGGGATCTACGAGGTTTGAGCACCAGCGCCAGCCTCCGGTTTTTTTTTTTGAGGGGAGTTTTGTCTTTGTGGCCGGGCTGGAGAATGATATGGGCATGATCTTGGCTGCAACTGCAACCTTGAAATTATTCGTAATTTTTTTTTTTTTTTTTGAGACGGAGTTTTTGGCTTGTCCACCGGCTGGAGGTGCAGTGGCGCAATCTCAGCTCATTGCAACCTCCACCTCGGGATTCAAGGAATTCCTCCTGCCTCAGTTCTCCGAGTAGCTGGGAGTACAGGCACGCACCACCTACACCTGGCTAGTTTGTGTGGCTTATTTTTTTAGTAAATACGGCGGTTTCCCATGTTGGCAGGATTGGTCTCATTTTTGACCCTCTGTGATCCCCTGCCTCGGCCTTCCAAAGTTATTTTAATTTTTAAATATTTTGTTGAGATAGG